CCTCCTTTTTCCTTCACACTCCATCTCATCACAACCAAGGACTTCGTGAATCTACTCCCCCACCCCCCTTCCATCTACCCTTTTATAGTCAAACTACAACCCTTATTCTAAAAATAAATCTGCCTGATGAGAGACCAGAAAAAGCAAAGCTTCAAAGTTTTATACTTTCATTTTTTAGTTCTGGAACACTCGTTGGACAGATTTATCATCACGGTTTTACAAATTCCCCTATAAATAAATAATTCTAGGATATGACCAAATTACTCTGGCCTCTTGACCCAACGTGTTTTTGCAATTACTTGGCACTCCAACTGTATGCTACTTAAATTAGGTAACAGTCACCAAGTTATTTTTAGGTCACAGCAACACACACACACACACATACACACACACACACACACCCCACACACACTCCATTATACCTAACTTGCTATTTGTACTCCTTTGGAACAGAAGCCAGAATTGCCTTTTTTACTGGCGCTATCATTTCTGTTCAATCAATAGCAATAACAACATTGAGCTACATTTATGGAATGCTTACCACATATGAGGAACTGTTCTGAACGCTTTATACACGTTAATTCATTTTATTCCTGACCTATCACTGTGCAAGAGCTATCATTACATTTCCCTTTCGTAAATGAGGAAACTAAGGAACTCAAACACTAACGAACTTGCCCAAAAGCACACAGCTACGAAGGGGAGAACCAGCTAGAAATCAGGCAGACTAGATCCAAGCCCCTGCCTTTATTTCTCCAGTATTTGCTATGAAACTAATGTTTTGTATTTAAGTCGAATGTTAATCAGAGGTTCAGAATAACAGTAGTAACTTTGTGAAGGTCGCTATGTCTTTATTTCACGTATCTTTTTAAAAAATTCCTCCTATCAGCCCTCAGAGACAAGGAGGATATTTATTATATTTTCCTACAACAAAGGAGGGACAGGAAGCATATCTTCCTCAGTGCCTCTCTGATGTCATGTACTTGACCATCAAACTCTAAATTGCCTACAAGTATACATTTCAGAATCCTCTGTGACTCAAGGAAAATGTGCAATCTAGTCGCTCATTTCTCAGGAGTCATGAAGGTACATTTTTATAGTATAAATAGCTAACTCTATGTGATCGAATCCTGCCTGTGTAGCAGCCTCCTAAACAATGATGTTTTCCTTTCTTTCCC